AGGACAATGTCCAGGGTGTGGGTACCGCGTGTTGTTTGCCTCACAAGGTGGGACCAGCCTTCGACATTAAGCTGGGCAAGCAGAGGCGAAAGGCGCAAAGGGGGTTTTGCTGGGACCAGGCAATCTCAGAAAGGTTGAGATCCCCAAAAATTAGTTTGTTTGGGTGAGGTGGAGCTTAAGTGTGAGAAAGAAGCGTAGACAGACGATTAATCGAGCTAATGGAGTGTAGAGGGGGCATGTACAAACACTCGAGGATGAACGGCGGATTAGCCCGAAAGGCAGAAATCCAAACAGAGTCTGGAGTGTCCACCAGTAGTGGATCGTCAATGGTGCAGACTTCCATTTCATTTCTGGCGTATATGAGGCAGCCACCTCCACGGCGGTTGGAACGATCAGAACGGAAGATAATGTATCCCGGAAGAGAGATAATGGCATCGGGCGTGCTAGGAGAGAGCCACGTCTCTGTGATGCAAATGAAGGTTGGATGAGCTATAGTGGAGATAACTTGGATGTAGTGCAACTTCGGTAAAAGAGAGCGGGTGTTGATTAGAACGTCAGAAAGACTGCTAGCGGGGTCGGGGGAGGTGGGTAATGTGGCTAGCAAGAAGTTGAGAATGGCGAAGAAAATTTCGTATGTTGTCGACAAATAACATAACACTGCCCCACTTCCATATTAGTTCAGAATGGTTTCTGCGCTTGGGCAACGGCGGTAGGCCGCCGGGAATTTTGAGGAAACATGCGAACCAAATATTGGGTTAGGGAGTATCCTGCCTTACTCTGGCGTGATATGGATAATACACGTCAAATTCAGCTCACACTTGGTACCTCTGGCGACCGTCAAGTAGACAAGTAGGAAACAGAAAGGTATCAGTGGGTAGACCAACTCCCAGAAAGATGGTGTTGACTCTGCAGCTTTTCGCTGGTCGTGCTTCAGTAAACCGCTATCGTGCTTCAGTTAAAAAGTCAGAAAAGTTTGCAGTATTCTAAAAGGGAGTTTAGTAAAGAAAAATGGTTTGCAATAAACGTACGTTATTCTATAGAAGGGAACATTCGATGAAGTAAACTGACGATTCTGATGGAACTTCCGAGGACCGAGGACACATTCACGAGTAGGAGTTCTCTTTATGCGAAGAAGTTCCGCAAACAGAATCAGACTATTCCTACAGTTGCTTTGTATGTGCGGCGCTTAAGCTTCATGGCTATTCGGTGCAACGTCGCAAGTTCCCAAACAAGGTCGCGAAAGCTTCTGGTGCCCCGATTATCCGAGAAAAGTCTTCACCTGTTACAAAACAAAACATTTTTGCAGCTACCAAGATGCACGAGCCAATAAAGGGCCCAAGATCTTTATTCTGGATCTGAAAGGAAGAGCAAGGTGATGGGAGATCTTGGCGTAAGACTGGTAAAAAACAAGGATGGTGTCCGATATTCTGGCTAACTATTTTGTGCGGCAAAATTTTCGTCAAACATCATAAAAAATGTGTCGATCGCAAAATCCATTTCCACTAACTCCAGAGGTGACTGTGATGTGCATTGATTTTCCCCTCGATTGTGTAGTTCATGATAACGTAATTTGCTCAACCGAACACAAGGAAAAAAGCAGACAGCATGGAAGAAATTCTATGGCTTTCGCGACAACTCTAAACATGTCCTCACAATATACACTGCGTCGCCGGTTACTTCGGTGTAAATTACACACTTTATTCTAATCATCATGTGGAGTATACAGCCGCTAACCCGGTCAAGTCAACGACAAGTGAAGCAGTGGCTTTGCCTTTATTTTCCCCGTCGCGGATACTGGAGAAAGTGGGGAACTGGGGGGCTGAGTTTTCGGCTATGCCGCTTAACCCCATATTTCACAGCTTACCCCTTGAGTCTGATTTCGTACGGTAGATTGATGGATCACTCGGATTCTCTCCTCAGAAATCCCTCAAAGCCATACGAATAATAAAACAGAGGAATGGAGAAGTTAGAATGGTAGAAAAGACGGATGAAACAATGACAAAAGTTGAAAAATTGGGAAAATGCTTTAATATGTGGAAAATGTTTGAAAAGTTCTCGCACACAACCTACCCATGCTCCTGTGCTGAATCTGTCCAGTACAACCTAGGGGGAACTCCATTTCCCGTAAGACCTTGGCTAAACTTTTGTCAAATCCCGTGCAGTCTTACACATTCTGATCCTATTTCTGGCACCTGAGCCCTACCGGCGTGCCAACTTATCGGACATATCGAACCTGGTTTCAACCCACTCGTGGTTGCCTACTAGACGAAGCCCGAACACCTCAATACAGACAGTGAGGCGACTGACAATGTCGTGGTCTCTACAGCCTCTGAGGAATTCGTATTAGGTTTTCAACTACTTAAGCCTATGTGAACCTGTATTTTATCCTGTACTCTATCAATGAAAATACTGACTAATCAGAACACAGAGGCTGCAGCACCGCGCTAAACATGGTTTGGGTGCTGGCCAGTGCCAGAGCGGCGCTGTGATGATGGCTATGGAAACGTTGTGAAACCCTTTAGAACCCTATTATGTGCCGATAGTACTGCATCAAACCTGCACTTCTTTTTCGCACCCGTATAGAGGATCGAAGGACTGCTCCGTGATGTCATTCTGCCACTCGTGGTGGATTAAATCCTATCGAAAAACACTAGGCCTTGGCAATTCATTGTCGTAACCTTCTGGATAATCGGTTATCGCACACCCGGTGTGAGTATACCTCTTGCTGCTTCATCCTTCCTCTTGGATTATCGTGTCCGGTTGTAAGCAGTCGAGTGTTCGGAAAGACCTCGACTGCCAACGTCTGTAGTAATGGTAAGTCTGGACCCTTGTTTTGACAAAACTTTCGAGTGACTTGTTATCCCATCCGGGCTCTGAGCTAGTGGATACAAAAATAATGATGCGTTTCAAAGCAGCAAAAGGGCTTCTAGGTCGCTCTCGTCATGGCCAGTTCAGACCACGACAGATCCATAAGACCTGCGTCAAGCGGTGCATCCGGCACAGGAGAGGTTGAGGGATGCCCATGATACGACGTGATAGGAAGAGTATAAGCATATCGAGTTATCAGCTGGCCTCAATAAGGAGGGACATTCCACTGCAACCTTATCAGGTATCGTGGACCAACATCCGGACTACTTATGGCTTCCAGAATGGTGTTGCCAAGACCTTGATGAATTGAAATAATGCAGCGGTTTAAAGTAGTGACTTGCCTCGGGAGGGCATATTAGCCAGTACTCCAGTACTCCAACCGGGGCGTCAAGGTGCACTGTAGTTGTGCCAAGACCTGCAGCCCATCTAATAATGATAGTTCCTTGGACACCTCACACTCTGTGTCAAATCACCGCTTGATAGGTGAAACAAATTTCTCAGCTACCTTTGTCCCCTCTGCCGGAGTAAAACTCTGATCACGGGGTGTTTTACGTTCTTTTTTGAGAGTTGTTCTATGCTATCAGTCTCGACAGATTAGTGAAGGAAAAGGCAACAGCTGACAGCGAAAAATCCATAGAAAACCATCGATGCTTCGACTACGTTCTCCTTCACTCCATTCCAGAAGGAGACTTTTCAACTACTGTAGGCGTTCTTGTGTTGTTCGCTCATTATTTGGTATTCAATTGGTTGAAAGGACTAGGGGTACGTTTGAGCGCTTCGACTATCCTTCACTCCATTCCAGAAGGAGACTTTTCAGCTACTGTAGGCGTTCTTGTGTTGTTCGCTCATTATTTGGTATTCAATTCAATTAAAGGACTAGGGGTACGTTTGAGCCAGAAGAGACTGGACCTTACCGTGGTGTGACGGTTTGCGCACCTCAGCGATCCATTGAGCTATACTGGAGAGTGTCCCGCGACACTCACAGAGTCTCTCATACCATGTTGGTCAATGGTTAGAGGTCTGAAGAACACAGTCTCCTGGCCCTCCAGGTTGGGGGTTGGAACATGTGGCGACTTGTTCCGTAGAAATGGTAATGCATTTGCATTTCCCGCCAAACACCGCTACCTTGCGGTTAGGCTTTTGAGCCAAAGGCTTTGGTTGAGGACCCTAATCGTCCTCCTGTCCAGGTATGGGCGCCCTGGCAGTATCCCAGCCCTCGTACAATCATGACCTTGTTACAACTCATGTTTGTAGGATAGCCAAAATACTGCCATGGCAATGATAGAAAGATAATTAGGGACGTCATTCGACGAGCGTGATCCGAATGACTTGTCACAAGACAACAGCAGTTAGGTGGAGTTAAATAGAAAAGTTTACATTTTGTGACGCATGTTCTGCCCTTAGCCACAAGAATAAGGTGGTTCCTATCCAGTTTGAGGTCTTTATGGAAGTCTGAATTACTGAGCTACCTCAGGCGGAAGAGAAATCCTGGGGTAGGAGGACTAATACTTCAGCGAGCTTCTTTCATTAGATTCTCTTGCCTCAATTTTGATGTCTAACTTGACATAACTCAGTCACTTTTCGAACTTTTCCTCCAAATTGTATCTGCGCATCTGATGAACGTTGTCAATAACTGTCTACAAAAAACACTAATAAAAGACTGACAGTCCATGGGGTTGGCAATAAGAAAACTTAGCCTTATTATAACCAGTCACAAGTATCATTGTTGAATTGCATTTATCAAGGAGCATTTCACGGAGGCTAAGAGTCAGAGTTCAGTAAGTGATTTGTGCACCTGTTCTTTTACAGACAGAAGCACCAGTTTCTAAAATTGAAAACGTACGGTAATTTTCCGGATTAAATCCTGGCACAAGTATATCGTTGAACCATCAGTATTAAGATTATTCGGCTTGTCTGTGAGGCCTGCTCACCCGGAAGACCTCTCGAGGTGCCGATAACTGAGCTTTCAGATGGAACAGGCTGAGCAGCAA